CTAGGAATTTAACTCTAAATTCCTTCCTCCTCACTGTAATAACTATGTTACTAACACGTTTCAAAGCAACAGCTTTGTTGCCCACTAAATCAATTAACCCTAATCGATTTAGACTTCACTAACTCACCATAGCTAACTCTAGCTACAACTCAGAATCAATGTTGAAAACACTAACTGATCTGATTCCTTTATAACACAGGAATAGATATAGAAAAATAAACACTGAAATATAAACCTACAACAACTTAGAACGATGACAACTCTATCAGGTTCCTTGTTGTTCTTGAGGAGAATATTTCTGGAGAGAATGGCTTTTGCTATGTTTTGAACTTTTCAGAATGCAAAAACTAAGATTGTGTCCATTGATATGAAGCTTATATGTAATGGACATAAAACCCTAGAAGCAATGCTATTGGCCAACGACCCTGCCACACTGCACGAGACGCGCACCACCTCCTACAGAAGACAGAGTGTGTAGAGTACTTTTTCCAGCTATCCTTTTCTCGTACAGGAGCACCATTCTCGCATGGGATCAGGTCCCTTATCAAATCCCATTATTTGTCAAATCATCATAACTAAATAATAACATGCCAGAAGAAGGTGTTGGCAGGTGGGCATCGTCAAACAACACAGAGCTCGCAAAACTTTGATTGGAGGCTATGAACCCGTACGGCCGTACAAGTCTTTACCCCGCTTAGGCGTGTTCACCGAAAAAATTAAAAATCAAATCAAATCGAAAATTGAATCAAACAATAAAAATCTATGTTTTTTTATGTGGTGACTTAACCCCCTCCTTAATAGAAAAAAAATATATTTTATTTTAACGATAATAGAAGACATTGATTAAGTTGGAAACAAATCACATACATTTTTTGTTAACTCCCGCGTTAGAGCTACATTCTCCTGGTGATAATTTGTTTAAGCATGTATTAAATTTACATTAGTAGTAATAAGTAGGAAGAATAACACATACATATTCTTGATTTGGACTTATAACACGTGCTCTCCTTCTGATTTTAAATATCATATAAGCTCCTCTTATTTCTGATAAACTAGGATATAAATTTGCCGCCTATTCCTAATTCTATTTTTGTATAGCAAAACATATTATTCAAATATTATTGTATCATATCAGTTAAAAATAGTCAAATAACTTTTGCACACTTAAGAAAATAAAAATAAAAAATTTACAAAAACAATTTTTATTTTTAAAAAAAGGAAAAAAAGAAGAAGTAGTCTTTATTGAAGTGTGCGACCATCTCATCTAAAAGCTTAAGCTGTTAGAAATACCACACTTTTATTATTTAATTATATTCTCAACAATCTTATCACAGTAACAAAAAGAAAAACTTTGTTTGTTGGTTTTTATATTTTATTTCCTTCATTTTTGAATTATTGTTATGTCACTTGTAGTTTTAACAAGTTAATGTATGGTTTGAAAGAACTAAATACAAACGTCATTCAATTATCAAGAGTTAATTAAGATAAAATAAAAGTAATTCTCTTTTTTTTTACAGCAAATAAAAGTATTATTATTACATAATATATCAAAGAAAGTTAACACATGATAGACAAATATGTTCATTTTTATAATACAATTATGTTATATACTATACTTAAAAGCGGAGTATAATATAGTAGGTAGATAGATAGATACCTGACAAACGAAACTTCAAGGGTTGGATAGCAATTAATCCGTACCAAGTATTTACATAAACTTTGAAAAGTTTATAAATTTCGAACATTGTTAAGTTGAATTCCTAAAATGACTATTTGTGCATTTTGTCTTATTTTAATACGATACGGAAGCCCAATAAAAAAAATACATTAATTCAATTAATTATTATTCAATGTGTTTTTTTCTTATAATTTTAATGGTTTTAATATTGTTGCTTACCTCGTGCTGCCAAGCGAGAACTGTTGGTTAATTTTGTCACTAAGCTTTAACCGATAATATCAAAGAGAACATTAGCATAGAGCATCAAAATTTGGCACACCAAACCAAAAGACAAGTGAACAAATATTGACAGAACAAACTTTTAATTTTATTCATTTTTCTTATAATTAATAACTATACGTCTTTTGTCATTATCAATTGAATTTTGTAATTATATTGAGAAAATGGTCTAAAGCCCCTTCAATTTATACTCGAAATTCCAACTACACACTCCAATTTTACGGGTGTCCTATCACCCTCCTGAACTGTTTAAAACAGGAATTATTACACCCTTAAAACATCATAACCACATCTATGCTAATGGGTGAGACTCACGTTCTGAGGATAAATTTTATTTAAAACTTTTTTCAAAATTCTTTTTCTTTTTTGATTTATTATTTAAAAGATAATTTATTGTCAAAACGTCAAAGTTTATGAATGTATTTTGGATCTTCAATTTGTAACATATTGATAACATAGATGGTTGTTAATTATTTGAAGCTGAATATATTGAGTTTGATTGAGTTTATGGCTGTGATTTTCAAATTTAAAGAAATACCCGAAATTTCATGGAAATCGACGAGCTTCCATATGAAATTATTGAATCTATATTCTAGAATTGGGAGCAACTTTTGGATGGTTTAAAGAGTTTTTTATGATTGAAAATTGAAAACTGAAGTTAATGGTATAAAATGTAAAGCGTCAACTTGAAACCTCCATTAAAATTAGTTTAAAAGCTTGAGCTAACAATTCGACTTGCCACAAACAAGCACCGTTTTGAGTGGACAAATATCAAAAGGTTCGAAACGTCGAGGGAAGCTTATATCTAAATTTTAAGGTAATATGGAGATGATTTAGGGTGGTTTTGCATCAAATTTCAGAGCAATGAAACGAAGAAGAAGTACTAAAAATAACTAAAAATACACATATTTATGAAAATTTCAAAAATAAAGTTTTATTATCTATGTTGGTCCTCACTCTCTTAGAAATACACTCACTGTGCCACGTAAGCGTCTAGGGAGTAAATTATTTTAATTTTAAACAATTCAGGGGGTGATAGAATACCCGTGAAGTTAAAGTGTGTAGTTGAAATTTCAGATATAGATTGAGGGGCTTTAGACCATTTTCTCTAATTATATTGTTTCGAATTGCTCTTATGCTGACATATTGAATTATGCAATGACCCTCCAGTTATTTAATTTTGTTCTTCAATTTTTCAAACAACTTGTTAACATGATTTTTCTCACAATTGATTGAGACTTTTTTTTTTTTGGTTTTAACGTAAAATTGGCTTTTGGTGGCCAGCAAAAGTTATACGTACTTCTTCTGTTACAATTTATGTGACACATTTTATTTTCGAGAGTCAAACAATTTAAGTTTGATTGAGAATTTGCTCATGGAATCTTCTATTTTTTTAAAAATAAAATTTATATATTTGTAAACTACGTAAAAAGTACTATAAGGCACAATAATTAATAATCCAAAATATTTAAAAATATATATGAAAAATTTACGGTCAAAAATAGATTTATTTAAATCTCGAATTTCGAAATACATCACATAAATTGAGACGGAGGGAGTATATTATTATTCTTGATGCAGCAGATACTCAACGTAACAATTTTTTTCTAATGCTGCCTATACAGGATATGGTCCAAGATCTATTTAATAGATAATCTTTAAATGCTTTGCAAAATATAGCGGTCTATGTCACTCCTAATTGTTTTTATCACCAAAAATCGCATAGTTTTCATCTAAAAATTGACCTTTTTGTTCTTAAATAATTATTGCATGGTATTAATCTAAAATGGCGTTTTCATCACCAATTTTCCTTTTTTTTTATAAAGACAATAATTGCATGATTTTCATCTAATCCAACGTATTCTCAAATAACAATATAACTATCTCTAAGCCGAAGAAATATAGATGGCAATTCTATTTTAGAAAATGTTAAAACTTAATGAGAAAATGATCTTTCATGCACACTTAAAACTTAGTAAATAAATAAAAAAAATTGACTCAACTCAACAAATATTTCTTGTATTTTATTAATAAATTTAATTTTAACATCATATTATAATTAAAATAATAGACTTGAAGCATTTTTTCAAAGTGACCAGTGAAGTTGACCTGTCGATAAAGGCCTAGATATTTTTTGGAGCCTAATATACTATCTTGTTCCTCCTTTTATTATTTCTGCTCTGGAAAAAAGACTTTAGAAACTTTTTTCAAACTTGTAATGATGTTGTTGGTTTTAAAAAAAAAAAAATTATTTATTACACAAAAGAAAACTTGCCATTGTCATGGATAATCAATTTGGCATTGATGGAGCAACGTCAAAAATAATTGTGGGGGTACGTTTTTGTGGGTTTTTATCATTTAACAAGTCCATTTCATTACACTTAATGATAATTTGTCAGAATTGGCGGCTAATTAAATCATATTTGGCATAACTATAAAAAATAAATTGCTTAGAAAAAATGTCACAAATCTAGAAAGAACTAATTGACTCTTATGTTTATTATTAATTCTTTATTTGGAAAGCATACATTGACCAACATTGCAGCAAGCTAGAGTTTAGACTTATTCCATGGAAACTTGAATTCCATAGCCAATTCAAATTATATTGTTTCTTCCCTCATTGCCTCACAATTACTCGCTTTTACCAAAAAAGGCAGAGAAGATTCAACTAATTAATGGTGTCTTTTAACTTTGATTCACTCTTTACCAAATTCTCCATTATCGTCTCGAATCAAATTTTTATTACGACATGTTATGATTTCTTTTCCATTAGTAGGTTGATGGGGCGCATGTCCAACATACATATTTTGATTTTGTCGGTCCATAACTCGAAATAGGTGACCTTTAATCAATTCAGAGGGTCTTAACAAGAGAATTCAAAGAAACTAATTGCTGAGAATTCAGCATATATCAAACGAACATTTCATTTCAATATATACATAAATAAAGAGATGTTCTAATGAACCGTTTAATTGAACAAAATTATTAAACTAGAACAAAAATGTGATCATGGGTAAAAAGAAAACAAAAATTTGTACAAGATATTTTTGTTCTTAATTACTCTCAAAACTCAGAGGAAATATATATTAATAGTGATAACATGATATGAAACAAATCCATCATGAATATCAGCTTAGCAGATAACACAAGAATTTGGATCTTCTTCGACGCTTCGATGGTGATAATAAGCAGGAACAGGGGGTTGATAATGTTGATAAGGATGCTGATAGTGATACAACATAGGAGCTGGAAAAGCTTTCATTACTGGAGGAGCTTCTTCTTTCTTCTTATCGTCTCCTCCCTTTTTGTCATCCCCTTTTTTAGCATCTTCTTTTTTGCCGTCATCCTTTTTGGCCCCTTCATCTTTTTTGGCACCGTCGTCTTTCTTTTTCTCAGGCTCTTTTGCTGGTCCAACAGAGACTATATCAGTGTGACAAAGCTTCCTCAATTTGGAAACTAGTGAAACTGGATCTATGTTCCCTGTTATTGTTAATTTCTTCTCTTTTGAATCTATTGAAATTGATTCAACTCCTGCAACAAATTCACACCACAAAACCATCAAAATTCAGGATCTAGAAATTACTTCATCCTATCTCAATTTCACTGTCGTTTTAACTCAAAGTTGAAATTATTACAAAATCAATATAAAGAGCTAAAACAGCAGTGAAAATTGAACGGATAGAGTAGTAGTAAAAAGAAGAGTTTAATTCTACAATACCTTCAAGACCAGACACTTTTTTCATGGCCTTTTGCTTGATTTTCTCGTCGAAATACTCCAATTTCAGAATCACTTTCTGTAAAAGAAGAATCAAAGTTTCGAGTTTAAATTTTAGTTTTCCTTGAAAATCAGAATCCACGACAAGATAAAATTAGCTAAAATTGAGTGAAAAAAATAAAACAGATAAAAGCTAACCTTCATCTTTTTATATGCTGATAACTGGAGATCTGCTTTTGTTGGTGTATCTTAGAAAGTATCAGATGAAGAAGTGCTTATATTATTATTATTCCGTCTCCAAATAGAAGAGGAAGGAAGAGAATATTCAAAGGGATGAAATACAAATACAAAAAAGAGAAACTTGTTGAAGCTGGACAAGTGTAATGAATAATGAGCTTATTTAGTTGTTGTATTTATATGAGTGATATTTTTTTATAGGAAAAAGAGGGGATGTGAGGAAGAAGCAACGTAACTCATCAAGTCAAGTGACTCATTGGTCAATATGTTTTAAGTCATCAAATGTGGCTGCCTGCTTCTTTTACTTTTACCGTTTCACGTACGAAAATTATTAAACTATCTACATATTCCAATGCTGCACGAACGCGACGCAGAAGAAGATAGAAAGTAAATTAAAAAAATATTGATTTGCCCAAACTCGTAAACTATACATTAACTCCGCCCGCGGACGTGAATAAACAATAAACGGATCCCGCATCATTCATTTTCTCCTTTTATTTTCGAAATAAAATACTTTCCTTCTTGAATATACATTTCAATTCAAAACATTTCAGGGTGATTTGGCGGCCGGTTAGAATTATAAAGGTTTTAGTAATATTGGTTATAGTTATTCTATTTTTTAGCTTGCATTAATACATCAATTTTCTCCTAACTTATTCATGTACTATCTTCATGTACTTTTAATTGTCATAATTTTCTTTTTTAGAATTAAGTTATAAAAAACTTGACCAACATTTTACGATGTATTTTTCATCATATTGATATGCAAAAAATAGCAATTTATAGTATTTTTCGTATAGTTTTTAATATATAATTTTTTTTGTTTAAAATATCGAATTAGTGCAATCTAATTTAATTTTAAAAATTAGTCAAGTTGAGTTTCGAAAAGCGCAACACGACAAATAAAAGTGGACGGAGGGAGTATTAGTTACGCAAATTTTTAAATTGCAATCAAACATCATACTATACATGAATAACTTACTCTTTAACTAACTACCAAATGTGACGTTATATAACTTATACAAAACCTAATACATGAATAAGTTGTTTCCTTACTACTGTTAAACGACCCCTCACTTCTTTATAACATGGCCAAAAAAATATCCACATTATTAGTACTCTTTTCGTTTTAATTATGCTACTAAACTTTTTAATTTTTACATTAAAATAGAGGGAAATTTGTTGAGAAAGCAGAAGTGGTTCAAATTTATACGCTTGAAAATTCTTATGCGTAGAACACTAAAAAAACTACAATTGACAGTATTTGGCACATACCTAAAAGTAAAGGATGATATTCAATTTGCAATGGAGAAGCAAGACTTGTCCTTTGGTCAATTTCACACACCAACTTCTTACTTTTTTTGTCATCTCTATCCTTGTTTTCATTTCCTTTTAGCTTCCGCTGAAAGCTTAAATATACTACTAGGGTACTATTTTAATATTAACCTTTACTATATGAATTACCATTTTCAGAATATTTAATTTGGACAAAAATAAATAATTCGGAATATGCATCTGTATGAATTTTGAAACAATCTCTGGTAAGTGTTTAAGCTATACGACCGTCTTGACACGATCGATTTCTCTATTTTAGTTAATTAATGTAAAAAGAATACGCATTTTTTTATTGAAAATTTCCACTCAAAAAAATGTAGTGACTGAATCCGTGAGAAAAGTAAAAAAGTTCAATAGTTATTGCCCAGTATTTCAATGAATTATTTATTTTCCAACATGCATACATTTTTCTAGTGAGCTGATTTGGTGAAAATGAAATGAAAATTCATGTTTTATAATATAAATTTCTCGTGGAAAAAAATTATATTTCTAATTAAGACTAGCCTGTAATGTGGTATTTAAAAATCCTATTGTATTAGCAAAGTATGACTACATGTTGGTCTATTGAACATTTTAATATTAATTAAATTGTTATAGAATGTCCTAGGCTTATTATGCCTTTGTGAATATGTTGCAGAAAGGAATAAGGACTGCCCATTAGTGGTCTTTTAATTGGTGAGTTACTCCATTTTGGAGATAACTGCCGCATTACTCCATTTGTTGGAGTTAGTGTTATATTCAATTCCTTTCTTGCAACAGTCTTAGCCGTTGGTGCATTTGACCATTATTTCTCCATTTATCTTATTCTTTACTCCTCCATTATCCTTGTAACATATGTAACTCCTAAGGCCATTTATCTTCACTATTTACTACCCATTATCTTCCTATCAATTGGTAGGAAGACTTCCTCAACTATAAATAGTGATAGTCTTCATTTGGTTTGGCAGATACTACACACAAGAAAAATATAGAGTAAAAGAGTTAGTCAAATTAAAAAGAGAGTTTTTATTAGTTGAAGGGAGGTGTTCTCTTTTTGTGGAGCTTTGGACTCAACTCTTGTCCAGAGTTGTTGAGTTATTCTTTGTGAAGGCTGTTGTATCCTGGAGGGGACAAGTCAAAGAGGACTACTGCTGGACCGGTGAAAAACATTTGCTGCAGTGGGCTTGAATCTCCTTAAAGAGAGCGAGATATCCGCGCCTCAGCCTGAAGAGATTTATTTCTTCATTTTTATTTTCAATTGTAATCTTGTATTTTTGTTATCTTGTAAGTTTTTCACTAACACTACATTGAACACAAATTAAAATAACGTACCTGAAATGTTTTGAGTTTTATATAGGACTTCACATAGGCATTCGCTAGTGCGAAATTGAATTTTTTTTCCAACACCATTTTCCATTGGAACTTTTATCAGAAAAATATTCAGTGACTATTTCCATGAATATTTTAAGAGAATTCCTAAGAAAAGTAAAATGCTGAGTGGCTATTTCCAGTATTTGAATGGAAATTTATTTTTCACCATGCAATTCGCGGTGAAAGTGTGGTCTGATTCTGGTAAAACCATGAATGGCAACCAGCTTGAAAGTGTGGTCTGATTCAGGTAAATCATATGATGGTCTTTGCAGACCGTTCACATCTTTGTTGTCCGACTGAGTTGTATTACTCTGTGTGAAATTGATTGAACCACAGGCCATTCAGAACAACGGCGGATCAAGGATCTATATGATATCACTATATAGCAGCCATGGATTTAGCTTACTAACAAGTGATATTGTATATGCGTAGTTGTTTTACCTATGCAGTTTGTACAGACTATAAAAAACAAACAGAGATGAGAATTGTGATGCTGGAAATTGTTAGAAAATGAGATATTTCCAGATGCTTTTTGTTTAATTGTTCTTTTTAAAAAAATATTATGTTAAGTATGTAAAGCAAAGGTAGTCCTTGTTTTATGTAATATGTTTTGTAAGAAAGTCAATAGTGGTTGGATATGTATGGTCCTCTATTAACTTTGGAAAAGCTTATGTAGATATATGTGTGTATGCCTTTTGAAATCTGAATATGAATGAAAATTACCTATGCTGAACCTAAGCGTGGCAACGGGACCGGAACCGAACCGGGCACCACGGGACGGAACCGTACCGGAATCGGGATGGACCGGAACTGGTAATTCCGGAAAAAAATATGTTTACCCGTCCCGGACCAGTAACGGACCGGACCGGAAACCGGAAACCGGGTCCCAACGGCTATATTTATAAATAAAAAAAATTATTAAAATTAAAAAATTAGGAACATTACTCAAATAATATTAAAACTTTTATAATTTTAAAGTTAAAAATTTATACTTTTAAAAGTATAAAAGTTTAAATTTAACACTTTAAAAGTTTAAAGTTTTAAATACAAACTTTCAAACTTTAAAAGTATAAAAGTTTAAAATTCACACTTTAAAAGTTTGAAATTTTAAATTCAAACTTTAAACTATAAAACTATAAAATTTTAAATTTTACCATTTAAAAGTTTGAAAATTTAAATTTAAATTATAAACTTTAAAACTATAAAACTATAAAATTTAAATTTCACACTTTAAATTTTAAAAGTTTGAAAATTTAAATTCAAACTTTAAAAGTATTAAAGTTTAAATTTCACACTTTAAAAGTTAAATTTGAACTTTTGAAGACAATAATAAAAAATAATTAAGGCGAATAGCCTATACTTTTATTAATATTAATTAAATAGTACAAGTTGAATTACAAAATATTAGTAAATTATTAAAAAATCTAATCTACACAGCCTCCTTCTAGGAAGGGTTCTGTTTGAATTAGACCTCGAATTATTATACTCATACTAATAGACATTTAAATTTAATAGTTCATGCTACCTAGGAAATCTTTTTTTAAATCATTTAACATTTCTCTACTAACATGCTCTGGAATTGGTTGATTAGCTAGTTCTTCCATTGCATCAATGCCGTCATCATTAAAATCTTGCATTATTTCATCAACGTCATTTTCAAATTTGGTCGGTAAAGGTGGACGACCATAACTCCTTCTCTCGCCATTAATCCAATCTCTAAATAGTACGGATAACTTCAAGTTATCTGTTGGTAATGAATATCTATGCTCTCCAATTTGATATCTTGCTGCACTAAAAGCGTCTTCTGAAGCTACTGAAGATGCTTGAATAGCTAACGCATCTCGAGCAACCGATTGAAGTTTTGAAAATACCTGGTCGCGATTGCTCCACCATTCTAGAAGATCAACAGTAGGAGGTTCTGTATTTTGATTAATATATGCATCAAAATCATTTCTATCATTATGAGAAAGTTCAAGATAACAATCTATCATATCATCAATATCATCTTCATTATTATATCTACTCCTAGAACTTTGAGGCTCTTCATTACGTACTACATTCATTATATTAGAATTATACAAGTCATACAATTTTCTAGCTTCAATTTTTATACTATCTTTAACATCTTGACAACTAGGTGTTTCATCATCTTCACTA